TCAGATACTGCGGACTTTATAAGGGAGCGCCAGATTCTTCTCAGGTGGAATGCTACAACGATTGAGAAACTCCTTCAGCGTGCCTTTGTATTGTTTCTGTCGAGTGAGCGCTTGCCTGTTGATAACTCGCCATAGAGCAATCTCTTTGGGAGGCGACAGTTGTACACGAGGCGGATGTGGCCAGCCCACCGGAGCTGACAGCGCAGTAGAATGGCACGGATGTTCTCCATCCCAGCAAGGTGGAGCACTTCAGTGTACGGGACTCTATCCTGCCACTTGACACAGAGCAGGGTCCTGAGGCATCGATATGGAAATCATCGAGCTGTTTAGCATGTCCATGTCTCGTACGCATAGAGCAGCCATGTTAGGGTTACTGCTCCGTAAACTTTGAAGTTGGTGTTAAAGCTCAGTTCTCGTCGCTCCTAGATTTTATCCTTCAGTCTGCCGAAGGCCGCGCTCGTTCTGACGATTATGCAGGCCACTTCTTCATCGATGTTGGCGGAGCGTCACAGAGTGATACCGAGGTTGATAAACTTGTCTGCAACTGCTAGTCTCTGGCCGTTGACGGTAATGTGTGGTTCAACGTAGGGTACCATACGTGAAGGACTTCGGTCTTCTTAGAAGAAATTGTGAAGTCGAATTCTTTGCAGACTTTGGAGAATAGCTTATAGTATTGTAATAAAAAACTAACATCTGGTAATGGGACAGAATAAAGGAAAATGGCTGTCTATATTTCGGAGATGAGGTATTGCAATTATTTACATTGTTCCGACTGTTGACCTCATCTTTATTGTCATATTCACGACGTTTCGGTCGTTGTACGCCCCGGCCTTCTGTGATGAGAATTTTGAACTAAACCCTATATTTTGTCCACGGGGGTAGATTGCTCTAGTTCCAATTGCCATGCCTGAATGACACTTGCTCCAGTGGATACAAGCGTTGGTTGGATACATTGACTTGATCTAAAGAGTTGTGAGTTCAATACCTGGCTACTGCAGTGGTGAACAATACCTTGGAGAGTTCAGATAAAGGAAGATAACTGAGACATCCAGAAGAGGCATGTCATGTGGAACTAGAACAAAAATTGCCAAATTTAGAAAAGACAGTCACTGGTAGTGAAAAATGGATTCCTTAAGAGAATCGAAAATCGCACCCAATTCAAGAGAGTTGTCTCGGTCAAATCACGTTGAAACACAAGTTCCCGTACGATCAACAAAGTTAAGCAAAGTCGAGCTTAGTCAGTACCAAGACTATTAGTTCTTTAACAAGGAATTACCATTCAAAATTGTTGACTTCAAGGTAAGATTTCAGCACTGAGCAAGTTATTTCACACCTACATGCATACATGTAACATTCGTTATCAGTTTGTTCATATCTATCAATCTACACTTGACTATCACCAAAGTTAAACAACGTCAAGCCTGGTCAATACCTAGATGGGTAACCGCTTGGAAATACCAGATGCTGTAATCATGGATGTGCGGGTGGTGTAGTGGATAATGGCTCAGAATTATTAATTGGTAAGCCTAGTTCTAATTCCAGTTGCGTTTTCTATATTCACTTATGCGCATATAACCCTTGGGGAATGTATGAAACCACCTCTTCTCCCTCCAGCTATGGGTTAATTAGTAATACTTGATAATAATAATCATTATTATCTCCAAAAAATTGTTCATACAATATTCACTCCCAAAATTATGAAGGCATACCTTTTTAGATTTATTTACATTCTCTGGTATATAAATGTATAGAAAGTATATTGGTCAAAAAGTGAGGGATCAGTTTTTATATTGATTGTAATGTGGAATTGATCCCCCACTTTATATCTATTTTAATTTCTTGTTTGTTTATGAAATTCTGATTAGGTATAAACTGGCATTTTCCCCCAGATAAGGGTTAATCAGTAAGACTTTTTTTTAGTAATTCATTATTATTTCGCAAAAAACATTCTTACAAACTAAAAATATTTTCTGGCTTTAAGTAACCTGCAAAGGGTTGATAAGCCGTAAAAAACGAATCAGTCAATCAATCAAGAGAGAGAGAGAGTTGTCAATATTTGAACTTAAGTGGGAGCTACTGGAAAGAAAACAACTTTCTAGTCGTTGGTATTCAACGGGTATTATTTATTACAATTTGTTGAAAACTAAAGAAAGTTTTACTGTATAATGCTACAGTACGTAATTGTTTTGAATGAACTTATGTGAAGAAACATCGTTCAGTATTTACTTACTCAATGCAAAAAATACCATTTATAGAAAAGCATCTTTACTGATAAAACTAGCTTTATAGAAGAAACCAGAAACGAAAGAAATAATGGCTCGATCTCGGATATTCTTCAATATGTTGATTTTAGAGTGAATCTACTAAAGAAAAAGTTCTTTGTTGTGTTTCCTGTTCTATAAAAATGATTTAACCCTTTGTGTCATGAGTTCTATAAACATGTGTTTATTTCGTACGTATATATTTACATTTTAAGCGTGTTTAAACCATTTAGCTGAAATTGCTCAATGTGTATGCTGTAAAATGTGTTTCTTTATTGTGTGCACATTAATACAATATATGGTATGGTGCTGCTGCTATATATTCAGAGATTCTTGATAAAATCCAAAGAATAATTTGCAATGTCCTAATCTAGCATCTCATTCTCAGACTCTTTTCCATCGCCATAATATAGCTTTCCCGTGCCTCTTCTATAAATATTTTCATGGCAAATGTTCTGATGAACTTTCTACTATGGTACCTTGACTCTATAGAATTCAAGAACAGCACTAGATTGGCGGCAAGATTCCAAGTTCCGCCATCCATTTACTCAAGCTCACTTGGAAGGTTATGCGTTGTTTTGCTCTGTCCTTCTTGACTTCAATATGTCCCGTGACTATCAAATTTCCCAAGCCTTCTTTCCTCATTATGTACCGTAGAAATTTAAACTTTCTCTTTCTTTTTGTCCTTTTTGTTTCCATTTTCTCTAAAACTTCGTGTTCAGTCCTTGGTATTCACAACATCCTTTTGTAGAATAATATTCCTCTTGCTTCAAGTCCCCTCTTCATCTGTGAGGAGATTATCCAGCATTCATTGACATATTGAGGAACAGTTCAGTACTCTTTTTATTGTTTCTCAGTTCGTCTTAATTGAAAGATTCAGTAATTTGTGTAATACTTATGTTAATTAAGGCCATTAATTATGATAATTAATAGTTAATTATAGCAATTAATTATAACAGTTATGCAAATGAATTAAGGTAATTAATTATAGCAATTAATTATAACATTCAATTATATCACTTGATTATGACAATTATGGAAATTAATTATCGCACTTAATTATAGCAATTATTAAAAGTAATTATGGTGCTTAATTATGACAATTATGCTAATGAATTATAATTATAAAAGAACATACAAAAAAACAACATGAAACAAACAACACCAACAAGAAGATGATACTAACGATGAAGAAAAATACAACCAATAGAATTTTCTGGAATGTAAATCTCCGCAAATTGCTTTTCTTTAATTATCTGTGAAATGCCATATTTTCTTGGGAGAAAATAGTGGGCTGGTTTTCCACTGACTTCTCAATAGTTTGGAATTCAATATTGTCCTATTCTCAAATTAGTTACTACCCAAGGCTAGAGAGACTGGTCTACCTTGCTATTTAATCCATAGGATATTTACATGAAGCAAAATAAATGATAATCTGAAAGTGGGAGATTTAGAAAATAGAGATTAGACAGAGACAAATATGTTAAAATGACTGCAGCAATGTAGCCCAGAAAGAATAGAAACGTAAACTGGGTAGGAACGGTGAACCACTCGCAATTATATAAATGACCTTATATTTGGCTATTCCGATTCAGGGTCTTGATATATTTGGCTATTCAGATTCAGGGTCTTGATATATTTGGCTATTCCGATTCAGGGTCTTGATATATTTGGCTATTCAGATTCAGGGTCTTGATATATTTGGCTATTCAGATTCAGGGTCTTGATATATTTGGCTATTCAGATTCAGGGTCTTGATATATTTGGCTATTCAGATTCAGGGTCTTGATATATTTGGCTATTCAGATTCAGGGTCTTGATATATTTGGCTATTCAGATTCAGGGTCTTGAACACAAACCAGTAACTTCTTCAAGAACAGGAAAAGTAAAATTTCTTTGGATTTTGCAATTGAAACGGATCTCCCAATTCAAGTCAAATTATCGTAAGCAAAGTGGATGTGGCCATTTCAGGAAACTCCGGCAAATTGAAAGGCTGGATGAATATCAGGAGACTTTTAGAGAAATGAAAACTTTTAGAATATGAAGACGATGGTTTAGCCATAATTACTGGAATGATTGTAATGGACGACAATTGCCTGGCAAAACGTTTGGAAAGTTATAAATCCAAGAAAAGAAAACCAACCTAACCAGAAAAGAACATCAGTATGAACGACGCACCTCTTTTTAAAGTGGCAAGTCGTTTTCAGGATGTTGGCGATCATGGATCTCCACAACTTCCTGTCTTTTGTTGCTCTAAGAAATTTCTTTTACATTTCGCCATCTCTCTTTGTCCCTGCTCTGATATCAATTCCCATAAATTCGTTATAAAGGTGCTCGTTGTTTCCTCCTTCTTCTCTTGAATTCTGTATGTCATGTGTGTGTTTAAGTCTCTAGTCCTTCTTTTCTCATCAAGTATCCCAAAAGCTTCAACTTTCTCTCTATAGTATTGTTATCATTCGTTAAGAGAACTACATCTCTGCTGTTCCAAGTCTTCATGTGCGATTAGACTGACATTATCTATTTAATTGATTTAGTATTTTTACTGCTTATCAACCCTTTGCAGTTTATTTAAAGTCAGAAAATATTTTGAGACTATAAAATACTTTTTTTTTTGGGGGGGAGATAATAATGATTTAATGGTACTACTATTTAATCTATAACTGGGGGGAGAAGTGGTTTCATACTTTTCCCAACGGTATTTACGCGTAAGGGAAACATTACACCACCCGTACATCCAAGCTTACAACACCTGGTATCCCCAAGCAGTTACCCATCGAGTTACGGACTAGGCCCGAGGTTGCTTAACTTCGGTGATCGTATGAGAAGCGCTATGTATTTAGAGATTCTTGATAAAATACAAAGAAGAATCAGCAAGGTTATTCATCCTGACCTGGCATCTCGGCTTCAGTTCATTTCCCACGGCCGTAACTTAAATTTCCCCCGCATTTTCTATAAATACTTTCATGGTAATTGTTCTGAGAAACTTTCTTCTATGATACCTAAAATTTCTATAAGCGTATTACTAGATTGGCGGCAAGGTCTCATCTTTTTACAGTTGAAATGGCTAGATGTAACCGTAAGTTCTATGCTAATAATTTTTCCTGGATGGAAACCTTTTCCCGCTTTTTGGTTTCCAGTCAACTTTGATCCTCAAATATTTAAATGCAATGTCAGTCGTTGTCTTCTGTCTTCCTAATTCCTGTTCTTTTATTATTCTCTCTCCTTAATAATATTTCTTTTTTCTCGTATTTTCTCACACTAACACTTTGCGTCTTAGTGGCTGTATTGCCTTGATTGGGGTGAAATGATTAAAAAAAAAAAATAAGTGCACATAATATAAACCGAATAAGCAATAAAGAAGGTTAACAAAAAAGAAAGTAAAAATAAACAGTAAAACAGAAATGTTAATGCCTTCCCTATAATTTAAAATGGATAAATAACAATAAGAGGCTTATATTTTAGCAATTCGAGAACACCGTTATTCAAAAACTGACAGCAGTCTCTCGGATTCCGTGGGAATATGTCCCGGAGAAGGCTCACATGTCTTGTGGCTGAAGATATTCCAAGACTAGAAACTTATACCAAATTTTAAGATCTTTTCAAAGATTTTATAAATTTATAAATTAAATAAATCAAAAGTTAATAAAAGTATGTCATAGAGGCTAATGATGTTGACAGGTGACAGTTGACAGGAAATAACATTGATGACATCACCAGTTAGTGTTTTTGATCGTTGCGTTAAAGAATAAAATCCACGATTTCTTTCCTGTGTTTTTTCACTTACGTTCCTTTTTTTCCAATTCCGTTTATTTCTTCTTCTTCTTTTTGTTTAGGCTGATGCATATTCCTGAAGGTTCTCAAATTTAAAAGCCTTGATAAACCAATGACATCATTGCTCGTGTATATAAACACGTGCAAAAGAAATCTTTACATTTGCCTTGATAAAATCCCTCAGAGGAAGAAACGCGTCGGCTAAGGATAGTTTTCCACATGTATGTTATTCATATATACATATATATACATACATATATATATATATATATATATATATATATATATATATATATATATATATATTTATATATATATATATATATGCATGTATATATATGAGTGTGTGTATGTGTGTGTATATATATATATATATATATATATATATATAATAGAATAGAATAAAAATAAAAAATAAAATGTCATATATAATATATATATATATATATATATATATATATATATATATATACAAAAGGAAAACTTATCTTAGCTGATACGTTTCGTCCTCTGAGACTTTATTAAGGCAAATTAAAGGATTTCATTTTGTAAGAAATATTTCTAAACAAGAGCAAAAAATGTTGTTAATTTTCAATTTTTAAAACTTTTGTTATTATTCATATTGTCCTTTTGAAGACATATTCTATATGACTTTTATATATATATATATATATATATATATATATATATATATATATATATATATATATAGTTAAAAAAAAAATCGTTCTCTTGTTGAGTCGAAAATTTACTTAATAAGCCGAACTAACTTTTGACCAATTATATGTATATATATATATATATATATATATATATATATATATATATATATACAAAGAATGATTACTCAAATTTTAAATATCAATTATACCCCGACTTCAAACTTTCCTGATAAGATTTCCCTTTTTCAGGGTGTTCAGTTTCAAATGATATTTCCAAATTGAAAACATTGGAAATATCATTTAAAACCGAACATCCTGAAGAACGGAAATCTTACCAGAAAACTTCGAAGTCGGGCTAAAATTGATATTTAAGAGTTAAGTAATCTTTTTTTAATATAATATTAACGATCTACTTTTAATACTATTTTAGCACTTTTTTTAATATTGAGCACTATATATAAAAATATCTGCTGTTTCTTAAATTTTAAATCTTATATATATATATGTGTGTGTGTGTGGTGTATGTGTGTGTGTGTAAGAGAGAGCGAGTGCAAGTTTGATTGTTATTTTATGTTTTGAGACACAAGGATCTTACTAAATACTTCCTCAAGCCATTCCCAACGGAATCATAAAGATCTATGATAATAGTAAGAATCTTAAGAGGTCACTAATCTATTACGCAGGCTTGTTGTTTGGACATGAAGAGACATTCAGCAAAACCCGAAAGGCAGGCAGGGACATAAAAGCATAAATACATTATTTTTATGGAGATATAGAGCAAAAGAATGATGAAAAAGAGGATACAGTAGAAAATATTTGTGCAGTGATTATTTCTTTTTTTTTGTGTATGAATCTAATCAATATTTATATATAAAAAAAAAAACATTGAATTGATATAGGAGAGAATGAGAAGATACAGGCAAAGTGCGAGAGAAGGATGCAAACATAACATAATGAATAATTTCAATTGTCAGCATTTGTATTTTTTTCACGTGTCCAAGGTATAAAAGAACAAGTGGAAATAAGACGTTTGAAAGAAGCAGCGCACATGTCCTTCTCAAAATATCCAGTCAGTAAACCGAGCATAGATATCAACAATATCGGGGAGTCACTAGTTAGGAAAGAACAGAAATTTAATTAAAGGTCCAAAACGTCGCTACCTGAGCGTCCTACAGAATATCCTAATGGATAAAAGTTCTAATAAATCTAATTTGGAAGTTGCGAGTTCTATCTTTGAAAGCGGCAAATATACATATCCTCAATGAAAGACTCCATAGGTTCTGAAGAATTGAAAGACTTCATAGATTCTAAAGAATTACCAAGGAAAAATACTGGGTGTAAGAGGTAAAAGAATGTGGATACCATATCTCATTGAATCTATATATAAAATTCTGTGACTTCCGTTAATCCGTCCGTCCGTCTAAAATAGCCATACATTGACTGATCGAAACCAAATTTGGGGGAGAAGTGGAGACAGGTAAAGGGGTAGAGAATACAATTGGTTTACTAAGATGCGTAACTTAGTACAATAAATTTTCATTCATTTTTTTTTTGAATTAAAAGTTTTATTATTTAACATACAAAATATTCCCACTATTTTAAAACTCGTTTGAGGATTAAAATAACAAAATAAAAATGCAATATATATATTTTTTTTTTTTTGCATACCTTTTCTTTAAGTTTTTATATATACAAGAATCCAGTTTCCATTTTGCCCTGCGTTTGCGAGAACTATAAACAAATCACAAGGCCAAACGCTTCAAGAAATTGGAATTTGACTCCAGAAAGAAATAATTACGTATGGCCAGTTGAATGTTGCATGCTCATGCGTAAGAAATCCTAAGAATTTATGCTTCGCTGTTAAAAAGGAATAAGGAAAAAAATAAATTTTCTTAAAAATATTGTTTACCATGAAGTCCTATAGAATTAAATTAAATTTTAAAAAATGATTATACCGTAGGGTTTTTTTGTCAAATTATTTTTCTAAACAAATTAGATTCTTCAAATTTCATCGATTGGTTTGCGAAATTGAATGAAACGTAGAGATTGTAAATCTCGACAAAAAAATGTTTGCGATAACTCCAACAATACGAAATACTGTGAGAATTTCAACAATTCTAATTAAATGAAATATTTAGTTCAATATTACCGAATGCGACTGATAGTAAGTAAATTGGCCAAAGTGTTGTGACAAAAACAACAAGCACAAGGAAACTCGTCCGAATGAAACAATATGTAACTGATATTTTTCTCTTATCTGTTTAACACGAATTGGTAGCCTATCTATTCGTCGACTGTTAAATGAATCCGCTGAATTCGGTTTTAATATAGAGAAGAAAAGAAGTTAGAAAGCAACTAGAAGCGCTGAAACAATTGTGGAATATGAAGGAGACAGTCGTGAGAGTCATTATCGGAGCACTTGGAATAATCTTAAAAAATGTAGGAAGAACTGAAAATTCGACTATTGAAAACAACGAGAATTCGAAGAAGTGTGCTAGGGGATTAGACATGCAGTCATTTAATCCCAAGTAGCAGCCACTAGTTACTGTTTGTAAACATTCAGTAAATAAAATAAATAATAATAATAATAATAATAATAATCCCTGTTGTAGTTGGAGCCCTAGGACTGGTTGGAAAAGATTGCAGTAGACTAATTGAAGGGATTCCTGGAAGTCCATGCCTCAAGGAGATACAAAAAATTGTTCTGACAAGTACAGCCCACACTTTACGAAGGGCTTTATCTATGTAATTTTTTTTTTGTTCGTTTGTCAGTGGAAAGTGTCATGCTGCCATTTCTAACCTTAGGTCCCTGGGCGGGACCCGGAAAGAAATGTGTGAACGCCAGAAATCAAAGAAAATAAAAATAATAATAACAGCCTAACACTCTATGCACAGACCAGGATCTGTGCTAGAAAATGAATGCTTTGGGACTTTCGGATTTAAACGGATTAATTAATCCATGCCAGAAGGTCGGATCTAATAGTTGTAAACAAGATGTGTTGGTAACCTATTGTACAGAAAGCGAAACCGGCGAAACGAGTTCAATTTCCAGTCGAGTTTGTTTTGTTTACTTTCAAACAAATGTCCTTTGAAAAGAATAAAACTACATCAATCTATTTATTCTCTTCACCAACAAGTAATAGGTTAAATAGTAGGGTATACTGGGCTCTTTACCATTGACTGACAGCCAGCCTGGGAGCAGAACTGCTCTAAAATTCAACAAAAAAAATCTTTCCAAAAATCGGCAAAAGATAACAATAATAATAATAATAATAATAATAACAAAAATACTCTATTATCTTTCCAAAGAATCATGGCAATTCACAGATAATAATAATAACAACAATAATAATAATAATAATAATAAAAAGAAACCTTGTGTGCCTAGTTTCTGA